CTCACCTTCCCAGTTGGGGAAGGAGGGAGGAGAGGTGGAGGATTTTGAAATCAAAAATTGATAAAAAGAATGCTAAAGTTGTTTTTACATGTAATTGGTAAAAAAATATTAAATTTTTTTTAAAACTACAAAAAGTCAGGGATAGCAATCATGATCTCAGAAAAAGCAAAAGCAAAAATAGACCTAATTAAAAGAGATAATCATGGAAACTATTTTACTAAAAGGTACCATAGACAATGAAATAATATTAAAACTTTTTACAGCAAGTTTCTCTTGTAAAGCCCTCATTTTAAAAATATATACTGAGTATAGAACTGAATCAAATTCACAGAAGTAAGAGCCATTCCCCAATTTATAAATTGTCAAAGGATATGAACAGGCAGTTTTCAGAAGAAGAAACCAAAGCTAACTATATTCATATGAGAAAAAATATCTAAATCACTATATGAGAAATACAAATTAAAACAGTTCTGAGGTGCCACCTCAAACATCAGAAATGACAAATATTAGAGGTGATAAGGAAAAAAAGAAATATACTAATGAATTATTGGTAGAATTGCCAACTGGTCTAGCCATTCTGGAAAACATTTCGGAATTGTGCCCAAAGGGCTATAAAACTTCATAACCTTTAACCCAGTAATGCCACTACTAGGTCTATAACCTAAAGAGATCAAAGAAAAAGAAAAAAGACATATAAAACATATTAATAATAGCTCTTTTATGGTGGTAAATAATTGGAAATCAAGGGGATGTTCATCAATTGGATAAACTGAATCAGTTGTGACATAAAATTTGATGGAGTATTATTGTGCTATAAGAAATGACAAGCGGATGATTTCAGAAAAATCCAGGAAGCCTTATATGAACTGATGCAAAGTGAAGTGAGCAGAAACAGGAAAACAATGTATACAGTAAATAGCAATGCTGTAATGATGATCAACTGTGAAAGACTTTGCAACTCTAATCAATACAATGATCCAATACAGTTCCAAAGGACTTACGATAAAATAATGCTTTCTACCTCCAGGAAGAGAACTGATAAACTATGAGTGTAAAGTAAAGTATAATTTTCTCACTTCCTGTATTTTTCTTCCTTTAAAACACTATGGCTAATATGTAGGTGTGTTTTGCACATGTATAATTGACATCATATTGCTTGCTTTCTGAGTGAGTGGGAGAAGGGTGGGAAGGAAATAATTTGGAACTCAAAATTTAAAAAGAGAAGAATGTTAAAAAATAAATCAACAATGAATTTTTTTGAAATGAAAAACACATGAAAATTTTTTAATTAAAAAAGAAGATATTTGAGACATTTAGGTGGTGATAGAGGCCTATTCTCAGGAACACTTGATTTCCATTTCTGCTTCAGACAATCTCTACTTGTGAAAACCAGGGCAAGGTACTTAAGTCAATTAACCTCCTTTGGCTTATTCCCCAGCCTTAAAATGGGTAAAATTGTACCTACTTCACAGGTTTCTTAGGTGTAAATGAAATCATAAATGTAAAGGGTTTTTAGCAAACTTTAAAGTGATATGGAAATGTGTTGTTATACTTATGAGTAGTTGCGGAAAAACATGGGGCAAATGTGAGCCACTGCTGTGTATTGAGGTTTGAAATGGTCATCGCCCTTATTAGAAGGTACACCTTTCTTACACCCATTCACATTATTTCTTGGTATTTCCTTGGATGTTTATACTTCAGAGTGCTACCTTTCCTTAGTTTAAATTCAATAGCCTACCCCAGAAATTCATATTTATACTTTAGTATCCTTGTCCTAGACCATTTCTGAGGCTGGAGGAGACATTTTTTTATTCTGTTTGTCCTTTTAGTACCTTTTTTCTGGAGGTCATGGCTGCACTGAATGACTCATGTGACTTACCTGCTACAGTGACTATGGCTATTGAGGATGCATTGACTCTCTCCTAGATGATAGTAATTCTCAGTTGCGAAGATCAGAAAAAAATTAAGCTTGAGCCCTGATTGGTTTACTTAGATATTGAGATCCTGTTGTCAGGCCTTCCAGAAATAAGTGAACATTCAGTAAAAACATCTCTTGATTGCAATGAAGACTAGAATCTTCATCTGTCTTTATACTTAGTAAGTGCTTAGGAGAGGGTGTGATCAGATAGTCAAGGGAATAAATTTCTTCTTCATTATTTCTGAGGTGTGAACACTATGTTGTACTCAAAAAGTGGCAAATGTATTAAATGTAATTAAATGAGGTTGAAGCATAGAGCAGGTAGGATAGCCAAGCACTGAGGGGTGGTCTTTTATGAAGGGGGATAAAGGGATTTTTCTACTGTCCCACTCATTATGAGGTTGGCAATTCACACCTTCTTAATGTGAATGGGAAAGGGGAGGAGATACTTGAGAAAAGTGTATAAAAGCCTGGCTCAGTTGGCTAGCTCAGTTTGAGAAATCTCTGCATATGAACTAGAGTCCAGCTGAAGCTGTGTTCTTGACTAGGAAGCCTCCTAGCAGGATAGTAAAGGTAAGATTCCTCCTGGGGAAATGTCTTTTTCTATCAAATCTCTTCAAAATTGAAAGATGGTTTCTTTATAGTTGAAATCAATAAGAGATATGGGATTTGAACCAGTGCTGTGTCATGGTTATACCTCCATGACCGTAGTCAAGTTACTTACTCTGCATAACCCTCAGATTTGTCATCCGTTAAACAGGGATTTTAATACTTGTAATATCTGAACTCACAAAACTGTAAGTATCAAATAGGATAACACAGAGAGTGATTGCTTGTCATGTGGTTAGCCTTATAATCACATTCATTTATATTCACTCAGAAGAGGAACAATGTCTTGACTATGATCCATGGCTATCATGGTATTGACTATCTTGGCTAGTGAGATTGGCTGCAGCTCAATTCTTGGGGAAGTTCTGGGATGGGATCCAGCACCTATTGCTTTCCTCGGCAGTACCTACCTATGTATACAGTAGGCAGTCAGGCAATAAGCATTTATTAAGCTCTTACCAGGTACTAGGCATTTGCTAAGTTTTGGGAATACAAAGAAAGGCAAAAGTATGGTCCCTGCCCTCAAGATGCTCACATTCCAATGGAGGAGAAAGCAAGCAAACAACTATTTATACAGAAAATATATGGTGTGCAACTTGGGTAATCACAGAAAAAAAGGGGGCAAGGGATGATGGGAAAGGCCTGCTCCAGAAAGGGTATTTGAGTTGACCCTTGAATGAAGCCAGGGAGTTCAGTGGATAGAGGCAAGAAAGGGATCATTACAGGCTTAGGGAAATGCCAAGGAAAAGGCATAGAGGCAGACCCTCTCAACCCACATCAGTTGCAGCATAGTCTTCCATGATCCTGCTTGGGGGTCTTTGGTACTTGCACTCTTTCTTTCCAACCACTTGCACTATTTTTTCCTTTGACCTGGAAGATCTAGACTTTATCTATGACCTTTTTTGTTACTCTGAATTTTACAGACATTGACAAACATAAACATTTCTATATACAGAGGAGAACAGTGAATGAGGATTATATATGAAACCAAAAATCTCCACTTAATTCAGCTTGCTTTTCTTTTCAAATGTATATAATAAATTGTGCAGATGAGTTTCAAAGCTGTACTATTTGTGTCTCTTGAAACTTCTTTTATTCTCTCCTATCTATTTTGGTTTTTGTTTGTTTGTTTTGTTTTTTAGGCAATTGGGGTTAAGTGATTTGCCCAGGGTCACACAGCTAGTGTCAAGTGTTTGGTCTGAGGCCGAATTTGAACTCAGGTCCTCCTGACTTCAGGGCCAGTGCTCTATCCACTGCGCCACCTAGCTGCCCCTCCTATCCATTTTGTGTGAGACGCTACAAGGGCTTTCTTTAATTTCTTTTCTTTTTCTTTATTTTCTCTTCTTTCTTTCTTCCCCTCTTTTTCAGTTTGGCAGCTTTGACTCTAGCCCTCTTCTGTCTAGGAATTGTCCTCATAAAACCAAATAAGCAAAGTCAAGCAAAACAAATTCACATTGGCCATATCCCAAAACACATCTGCCTTTTGGGTCCTCCACCTCTCTGTCAGGTAATGAGTTGCCTGCTTCATCACTGGTAGTCTTGAGTCATGACTGCTCATTGCATTAATCAGAGTTCTTAAGTCTGTAAGATTCTTGTAATGAAGTTGTAGTTGTTAAATTATTCTCCTGGTTCTGCTCATTTTGCCTTGTATCAGTTCATACAACACATCTTTCCAGGTTTTGATGAATTCACTCCTTTCATCATTTCTTAGACTATAATAATTTTCCATTCCATTTCATATGCCATAGTTTTTTCAGCCATTCCTCAATTGATAGACTTTGACTTTCTTTCCAGGTTTTGCTAGAGCAAAAAGTAATATTGTATCTGTGTGTGTGTGTGTGTGTGTGTATGTGTGTATGTGTGTGTGTGTGTGTGTGTATTGCTCCTTTCCATCATTATTTTTTCTCTTTGGGGTATATGCCAATTACTGATAACAAGTGGACCAAAAAGTATATATAGTTTGGTGACTTTGGTGATTTTATAGGTCTAAATTGCTTTTCAGAATAGCTAGACCAGTTCATAACTCAAACAGTAGCACATTAATTTACCTATTTTCCTGCAACCCTTCCACCATTGTCACTGTCTTTTATTGCCATCTTTGCTACTCAGATGACTCTGAGGTACAACTTTAGAGTGCTATTTTGAATTTCTCTAGCAGTGATGTAGAACCTTTTTAAATCACTGCTAATTACTTGGATCTTTACCTTTGAGAATTACTATATATATCCCTTAACAATTATCAATTGGAGAATGGCTCTTATTCTTCTATATTTGAATCAATTCTATAAGCATCTTAGATTTCAGATCTTCATCAAAAAAAATTCCTACAAAAGTCCCGAGGTGTCTGTGGGGGGGGAGGGGGGAAGAGTGTCCAGGTAATTGATTCCCTTCCAAATTTAACCGCATTGATTTTTGTTTGTGCAGCTTGATGGTACAGTGGAAAGAACACTGGACTTGGAGATAAGAAAAACTGAGTTCATATCTGGCCTCAGACACTAGCTGTATCACCCCAGGTAAGTCACTTAACTTCTGTCTGCTTCAGTTTTCTCAACTGTAAAATGAGGATAATGATAGGACCTACTTCCCAGTGTTGTTGTGAGTATAAAAATGAGATCATATTTGTCAAGTGCTTTGCAAACCTTAAAGGACTACATAAATTCTAGCTATTATTGTGCCAAAACTTCCATTTTATGTAATAAAAATTGTCCATTTTATCTACTATGATTGTGTCTCATTTGTTCATAATCTCTTACTCTCTCCATACCTCTGAGAGGAATCTCCACTTTTGGACTTCAAATTTATTTAGGATGTGATTTTTTTTAATAGTTTGTCTATCAACTATCCATTTAAAGCTTACTGTGGTGTATGTTGTGAATGATGGCTTAAACCTAATGTCTGCCAGAATGCTTTCCAAAATTCTCTCTGCAGTTTTTGTGAAATGGGGAGTCCTTTCAACAATCATAGAGTGACTTTGGGTTACCTGAACACTCACTACTTTGAAAGTGAGAAATATTTCCACAAAAAAAAAAAACCTCCATGGTACCATAGCTATAGTATGCTAAGGCAGGTTCAAACAATTGCCGGTTTTGCCAAAGAACCTAGTCCAAAAAGGTAAGGGTAACACACAAGTGACCACAATGAGGCTGAAGATGGGTAGAAAAAAGAATAGGTCAAGTTTTGTAGTAATAGATGATAGAAAAGGGTCAATTCCCATTTCTCCGTGGACTGCCATCAATTTCAGAAATATCAGACCTGCAGTATCACACACACACACACACACACACACACACACACACACAAATAGGAATAAGTGGATCTTTCCTTTATGTGGTAATTACTAGCTTTCTAAAACCAAGAGCCAGATTATATGTAAAAGGAACAAACTAGAGGCTTTTACTATAAGATCAAGGGAAAAGCAGACTTGTCTATTACCACCACTAATACATTATGGTGCTAGAAATTCTAGATAAATCAATAACAAAAGAAAAGGAAGTTGAGAAAATAAATAGTTAAAGAGGATGATATGAAATTTTATTGAGAGAACTCTTCACAATATCTATGTATATAAACATTACGGTTTACTTAGAGAACTCTAGAGAGTCAACTAAAAAAAAATGAATTGAGATTTTTCTTTACAGACAGGCTGAAGTTGTCTCAAGACAGACCTATATCAAGCTGCTGCTGCTGATTACACAAAAGGAGAAGAAAGCTTTGTAGTGAAGGTCCATGGCTTGCCTTGGTCATGCTCAGCCAGTGATGTCCAACACTTCTTCTCAGAATGCAAAATTCAAAATGGGGCATAAGGCATCCATTTCATCTATACCAGAGATGGGAGACCAAGTGGAGAAGCTTTCATTGAACTCAGATCTGAAGATGATGTCAAACTGGCACTGAAAAAAGATAGAGAGACTATGGCACACAGATATGTTCAAGTATTCAAGTCAAACAAGGTTGAAATGGATTGGGTATTGAACCATACTGCTTTAAATTGCCTTGACACCACCAGTGATGGCTATGTGCGCCTTAGAGGACTCCCATTTAGCTGCAACAAGGAAGACATTATTCAGTTTTTTTCAGGGTTGGAAATCATGCCAAATGGATAATGTTGCCAGTAGACTTTCGAGGGAGGAATAGTGGGGAAGCTTTTGTGCAGTTTGCCTCCCAGGAAATAGCTGAAAAGGCTCTAAAGAAACACAAGGAAAGAATAGGGCACAGGTACATTGAAATCTTCAAGAGTAGCCAGACAGAAGTTAGTACTCATGATCCTCCTCAAAAGCTAATGACTAGGCAATGTCCAGGTCCTTATGATAGACCTCAGGCTGGCAGATGCTATGACAGTCTTAGTAGAGGAGCTGGGTTGGAAGGAATGAGGTGTGGTGCCTGTAAAAGTGGGTATACAGGTTATGATGACTACAATGGATATAGTACTGAATATTACTTTAGAAGAGACCTCAATTACTATTTAGGAATGTCTGGTCATAGCTATGGAGACCGCTGGTCTACCTTCCAGAGTCTATCAGGCCATTTCGTGCACATGAGAAGACTACCTTACAAAGTTACTGAAAATGATACCTATGATTTTTTCTCACCACTCAAACCTGTGGGAGCACACATTGAAATTGGATATGATGGCAGAGTGACTGGAGAAGCAGATGTTGAATTTGCTACTCATGAAGATGCTGTGGCAGCTATGTCAAAAGACAAAGCAAATATGCAACACAGGTACATAGAACTCTTCTTGTGTTCTATAGCAGAAGCAGACAGTGGGGTTTATGATCCCCAGATGATGGAAGGCATGGGCTTGTCAAACCAGTTTAGTTATGGCAGTCTATCCAGCCAGAATTTGAATGAAGCTTATGGAGGCACCTATGATGGTCAGATCAGCATGAGCAAACGTGACCAAGTTTTAGAGGAAAACTTCAGCAGCTTTTCAACCACACATTGCATAGAGAACCAAGAGGAAGTGAACAGCAGCTACAACAACTTGGAGAGCTTTGCATCTGTGGGAATGAATGGAATGGAAGAAATATCAGGCATGTCCAGTATGGGAACTGAATCAGTAGTGTATCCTGATAATTGACCCTTAGTCAACTTTTCTAAAGAAAATCGAACAAAGATGATGGTTTGCAATTCAAGTTTATTGTTTATACTTACTGTTATTGAAATCAGAATTGTTTTTTAAAGTTCCCAAGTTAGATATTTTTAGAACACAGGAAAATAATCTTTTACGATAAGCAAGCCGAATAAAGATTATAATTGCTAAAAAAGAATTTGGTATTTCTCAAGGTAGTTATGTTGCATGAGTGCTCTTAAGTATTGAGGTTAAAGCAATCTCAGTTCTGTTAAATGTACCTTTTATGCCAGACTATCAGGAATGTCAAAATGCATTTTGAGAGACACAGTTTTTAAAAATATATTTATTTACTTTCTCAATTACATACAAAAATAATTTTTAACATTAGATTTTTAAAAGTTTGAGTTCTCAATTCTCTCCATCCTTCCCTTCCCCCCCCATTGAGGACACTAATTTTCTATCGATTATGCATCTACAGTCATGCAAAACATTTCCGTATCAGTCACATTGTAAAAGAAAACCTTAGGTCATGAAGAGTCAGACATGACTGAAATGACTCAACAACAACAAAAGAAAACAGACAAAAAACACGCAAGAAAAATAAAGTTTAAAAAGCATGCTCTGATCTGCATTCAGACTCCATCAGCTCATTCTCTGCAGGTGGATAGCAATTTTCATCACAAGTCCTTCAGAACTGTCTTGGATCATTGTATTGCTGAGAATAGCTAAATCAGTCTCAGGTCGTTACACGACATTGCCGTTACTCTGTACACCGTTTCCCTAGTTCTGCTCACTTCACTTTGCATTACTTCATATAAGTCTTCTCAGGTTTTTTATAAAACCATCCTGCTCCTCATTTCTTACCACACAATAGTATTCCATCAAAATCATGTACCACAACTTGTTCAGCCATTCCCCAATTAATGGGCATCCTCTGAATTCCTACTTCTTTGCCACCATAAAAAATGCTGGTATAAACATTGTTGGACCCATAGATTCTTTTCCTTTTTCTTTGATCTCTTTGGGATAGAGACATAGTAGTGGTATTGCTGAGTCAAAGGATATGCAGTTTTATAGCCCTTTGGGCACAATTCTAATTTTTTCTCCAGAATGTTTGGATCAGTTCACAACTCCACTAACGATGCACTAGAGTCCCAATTTTGTCCATATGCCTTCCAACATTTGATATGAATTTAAAAAAAACAACAAATAAAGAACTGTGTGATTCAAAAGGGAAACGTATGACATGTTCTAGTTTGTTTCCTTTACCATCCTCTAAGGCACATTTAAGGTTTGTTTCTTTTTAAGTCAATGAAGACAATTTTTAGAAACATTATGGATATTCTAGGGCTTTGGTCTTAGTGTTCCTATTAAATTGTGAGGCATTGATTTAAATCTTTTGTTGGATTGAAATTTCCTTTTAGGCATGTTATATGAAGTAAAATTTGTTAAATAAAACTTCCAAAAATTAATTGAGGGTATGGATCCAAGGTGATGTGGTAGATGCAGCAACCCAGTCAACTCTTTATTTTTCAATTGATTTTTTCCAATAATAACATGATGGGATCTGATTGGATGAGGCAGAATCCAATTGAGAGAGAAGATGGCTGAGCTTCTCTATATTGCCCTGCAGATCCATCCTGAGGAACTTGGCAGTTCTCTGATTTAAGGGATATTCTTGTCATTTTAATAGTGCAATACTGAGCACTGGTTTAAGGGTGATTGTAAGGTTAAAAAAATTGCCACTGCATTACTAATATGACAGCAAAAGAATGTTGATTTGCCTAGCAGGAAAGCAGTAGGGGAGTGGAACCATAAAAACAGTTATTAGCAGAAAAGCAGCTTTTTTTGTGGCACAGAATATTCATGAAGAAAGTGAACACATCAATACCTACAGTCCCAGAGTTGTAAATGGTCCCATACACATGAGCTGTTCTCATTTATGTGACTCCTTCCTAGATTTCTCTGTGTTTGATCCATCTTCCCCACTGCTATTGTAGAAGAATGTTACCTGGGTTAGTGGACTGTGATGTATTGATCATTATTGTATTTCCCTTATCTTGTGTATCTTGTGGTGTTATAATTATTCTTGGTTTTTTTCTTACCATTAAATAAAAGTTTTAAGTTTGAACTAATGGTATTATTATGATTAATTTTGCATAAATAGGAAATATGCCAGTGTCAGGAACTATACTAGTAGGTAGCCCCACCTCCTCATCCCACCTCAAACAAATACACACAACAGGACAAAAGAAAAAAGAAAAAGAAGGAGGAATGACTCCCACATTTTTTTTCCTTCTTAGTACCACCACCATAGTTCCTGTGACTGTAAACTATACCATACTTCTTCTTGTCACCTGTCATACCAATATCGATCCTAGAAATGACAGCTCTCCATAATTGTAAACACTGTCAACCACATAACTCAAACTGCCTTTGCTAGCTTATCATTCAATACCTGATAATAACAATAGGAGACATGATTAGTCAGTTAGCCACCAGCCCAGAGACTCTAGCCATGAATAGTGTTGAGGGCCAGAACTGGAAAGTCTAAATAGGGATAAGGAATTTAGGTTACAGCTTGACTCTTTTCCTTTTCCTACCCATAAGGGCTTAATTATTCAGATCCTTTGGCTCACCAACCTCCCATGCCTAAAGGTTAGAATACTCTGACCCTTAGACCTTGATTGTAAGCAGGTGTAAACAATTAAGGATGCCATAAGGGCTGGGGTTAGTCAGGTAAGAATGGTGAGGATGCCTTGGGGATGACTGTTAGCTTTCACTACATAATCTGGACCCTCAGATAATAAATTGGCTCAGTGTTTCACTGACCTGCCTGGCCCACGTCTTTATTTCTCACCCCTCTTTTGATGCAAAACTTAGTCGTGGGTGACAGGTAGCCCTACGAACAGGGACCTAGGAAGGTACAAGAGGGGCAGCTCTCTTGGACTCCAGAGAAGAAAAAAGAAAAAAGAATCTTGGCAGCTCCAATGCTGTGAAAACAAGGTAAGAGAGAGACGCACACAATACCCTATCTTTTACACCGGACTGAGTGGTAATATAGGGGAAACAAACAAAAGAAAAAAGGCTCCGTAATAGGAGCATAAGAAAAGAAAAGGACTTGAGCATAAGAATAGTGCCACTTTAGAACGGGCGCACTTACTTTTGCTTCTGGGAGGCATGCCTGGGATTGAAAGTATGGGTCAAACACAAAGCAGAAGCAAAGACAGAGAATATTACCTAAACTTTCAAGGAAACAGTGAAAGAAAGAAGTTTATTTATTACAGATGGTCAGTTACAGGAATTTTTGGAACGTGTAGAAACATGCTGTCCCTGGTTCCTTCCAGAAGAAACAATAGATTTAGAAATATGGGAAACAGTGGGCCGACAAATGAGTGAGCACTACAAGGAAGTAGGGCCAGGTGCATTCTCCATGGCTACATTCTCAATTTGGAAAGTGCTAAAAGTGTGTCTTACTCCTGGGGGCGGGAACTGAGGAAGAAGAAAAGATGAATAAAGTATTTAAGGAAAAGCTTAGAATTGTAGAAGAAGATGTTATCTATGCAAAATCTATCACACTTTCAGCAGCACCACATCCCCCACCTTCATATAGATCAAGCTCATACAGAGAAGATAGTGAGGAGACAAATAAAGATCAAAAAAGCCATAAAACACATTGTAAAAGGATATTAGAAGAAACAATCATAAAAACAAAGAAAAAAAGAGTAAGAGGAATCACACATTTTCAAGCACAAGTCATAGCAGCTGCCTTTAATAATGTCCAAAAGCCTCAATGAACACTAAAATGTTTTAATTGTGGGAAACCAGGTCATCTAAAAAGGGAATGTAGAATATCCAGAAAAATCTTTCAAAATTCTCCTAGTTTGCCCTGTCCCAAATGTTGCCAGGGTAAGCATTGGGCTCCTCAATGTAGATCTTCTATTGATATTGATGGGCAACCTTTAAACTCCCAGTGAGGCCACTCAGGCCCCAGCAAACAATAGGAGCTGCGCTGTCTCTTATGCACCCCACGCCAGCTCCGACTCCACAATAACCACTGTGCTTGACATGCTACCTCTGGTAGCGCTGGGTTGGATTTTGTTGCCCGCAACCAGATTGTACACCGAACGGAGAGGCATGAAATAACTTATGACATGGGCCAGGCGGAGTAGAATTACTGACTCAGTTTATTCATCTGAGGGCACAGAATATATAGGGAAGATCTAGCCTAACTTCAGAGTCCTCCCCGTGAGACATTCCCCAGAACATCTGCTGAGGATGTAACAATCATGAATTTCCTCCTATCAGGGTTCCTAGATTGGGCTGTAGATTCCAAGGTTTTCCCAGGCACCTAGGCGCCACCTGCATAGAGGAGTAAATACGTAAATCTAAGGTTCAAAGAGAGAGAAGGGATATCTCAGTGACCTCTTTATCAGGAAGGAATTTGGGGAGCCATATCACTTAATCCTTTGAGCCCTTTGGGGTGAAAGCCTGAGCAGAGGTCAAACTCTGCCTTGGATCTTAAACCCTTATCAGACTCTTAAGATCAGCTCTCAACAGGATTTAAGTTCTCATATCTCTACAGAAATTAGTGATGATGTAGTTTGCATTCCCACTAGTGTATATGGTCCACTCCCTCCTGGGACAGTGGGACTTATTTAGGTAGGAGTTCACAGTCATTCCGTGGTCTCATGATTATCCCAGGAGTAATAGATTCTGATTTTGTTGGGGAAATTAATGTTATGTTATATGCTTTCCCTTGTTGCCATATTTCTATCAAAAAAGGGGAAAGGGTAGCTCAAATGATTATCATGGAATATACAAAGTTAGGAAAAACAGCTAAAAGAGTAAGAGGAACAGAAGGCTTTGGGAGCACAGGGATGTTTTGGCATAGAACTATCACAGATGTCAGATCTACATTAAAGATAATAGTACAGGGAAGAGATTTACTGGAACACATGAATGTCACCATAAGTAGCAAGAATTTTTCACAGGGGTCACAGCCAAAGATAAAAAAAAAAAACAGTACAAGTTCCAAAAATAACTTGGAAAGAAGGGCTTCCCATATGGGTGGACCCGTGACCGCTTAATCTAGACAAAATCAGGGCTCTTCATCAGATAGTAGAGGAACAATTAGCTGCAGGACACATAGAACCATTCACAAGCCCATGAAACTCTCCAATATTTGCCATCAAAAAGAGGTCAGGAAAGTGGAGGATACTGAAGATCTCAAACAGACAAATCATGGCATGGAAGAACATGTTAAGGAACCGTTGGAACTTAGAAAAGTATTGACCAGTTATAGATAAGTGGTTTAAGCAGCCAGAAGGTGCATCTTTGTAAAGAATTGATTAAAGTAGACCAACTAAAAATAGCTGGAAAAAGAGAATTGTTATTGGATACCACATGCAGGGACTTTTAAATACCCAAAGATTGAACTTAGATGTCAGCAAAAAAAAATATTATAGTAGCAGAAGATACAATAAAGTTCAGAACAGGGATTCCTATTACTATGGAACACTTGACAGGAACAGAGATCAAAAACTTTT